ATTCAGATAGTGTCGATTCATAATAAATACCAACTGAAGATTCTTAAATACTATTTATTCAGTTAGACAGTGTTTATCTTTGATAATTTCCAAACTATTCCAGGTGATTTAGGTTTTATAAGAGCAAACAGGAACACTTGAAACGACGTACTGCTAATCACAAATGCTCTTAGACGTACATCTTTTTAGCTGCAAGCAAGATTTCAACTTATATTTATACCACATGAAATAAAACTGTAAACTTTGAAATCATTTAGATTCATTTAGTATTGTTTACTTGAATCTCCTTATTGATATTTAGGACTGCAATTGATCAGTCAATTATTGGCATATGTGTATACGCATCAATGGTAAGATACAAGTAAACAATATGAAGTAAATTTAAAATTCACCCCATTTCACAAGCAAGTACCTATCAGAGCACAGTAGATAAGTGAATAAAGCGATAATGTTTGAAGTGAATGGTAGTAGGTTCGAGTCCCAGACTGAACATCAACTCTGAGATGCAAGTCCATCCAGCTGACGAGTCTCAAATAGAACAAAATGCACTTCCTGGATTTCACTACTAGCCACTATTGATTTTTGCTTTGAAATCAATTTGTGCAATTATCTTATGGTAAAATTTAATGGACATTAATTGAATACATTTCTTGTAAAACATTAAACACAATCGAAATAGTTTTGTACTCTTTTTGTTTAAGAAAAATGCATAAAACAGTAGGAAGTTATATTTCAATGACAGATGATTTCAAGAAACAAATATTATATGTAGTGAATAGTGTTTCTTCAAATTGCTTACAAACATAACTATTCTATACATTGTTTTGATGACATACAGTAGCATACAGTGAAATGTAAATATGTTTCATGTTTGATAGATGGAAATAATTACCAAATTAGTTTTATTTGAATACAAACCCTGATGATGGACATACACAAGAAAAAAAAAGAAATTCAACTTATCTACAAATTACCTCAATTCACTGAAACATGTGACAGTTGTGTATTCTTTAAAGATTAATTCGAAAGACGTATTATTTGACGTCGTAACGAATAGCTATAACTTGTGATACTGCTTGAGTAGAGAATATGGTTGGACAAAAATTATATAGCGCTATCTATTGGATGACTCCGTCGGTCGGATACTATCAGCAAAAACCTACTGTGTAATAGAAAAATCCGACTTTCAGCTGAATAGGAAATTAGGAAAAGACTCTGGAAGTGGGTGGGATATACATTGTGGAAATCATCAAACTACATTCCGAGTCAAGCGCTAACTGAGAATCGTGAAGGGAAAAGGAAAACAGGAAAACCAGAGAATACATTACACGGAGAATCGGGAACAGACATGAAAAGAATGAATAAGAAGTGAAGACAACTGGAAAGGATTGCTCGGGATAGAGTACGATGAAGAATGGTGGTGGTGGCCTATGCTCCTCGACGAGGGGTATCAGGTGTCAGTAAGTAATTTAATGGATACGACTTTGTCAGATGTGATCTGGCAATTACTGTCTCATACTATATATTGGCGTCAACTGACAAACAATGCTAATTTACTGACGTGACTAAGTTTCACGAGCACGGTTTTCACATTTGTAATTGGAAGTTACTTTTTTCTCTCTTAATGTGCAAAAGTTCAATTTAGACTATTTTCCGGTTTAAATAACAGTTAGATTCAGCTAAAATCCTCCGTGTAATTAAAACGTGGGCTAAATGAGTCATTAAAATTCATTCTTGAACGCCGAAATCTAGAAACTTTTATAGAGGATGTTTGAAGTAAGGTAAAATATATGGAAAATGAATGTAGTTAATTTTTGAAAATTTCAGAAATAACTCATTAAGTTCAATATCAAACATCATTTTCTTTATGTTCTGACATGAATCCATCAATACTAGACCATCATTGAAAACCTAGAAGCACTGGATGGCCATTTCATGGATACGCACTATTTGGGGAATCCCATACTAGGACAAAACAACGTTCAGTGCTTTTAGATTTTCAATTGTGGTCTAACATCAATCAATTCATGGTCTCAATCAAAAACTCATTAATCTTCTGCTAAGTTTGAAGCGCATATGAGTTCACTTAGACTGCGAACGGACCAAAGACCAATGAACTTGCTATTCTGTTGAGTCCAAGGCCCGCTAACTAAAGAGAGTAGTCAAAGTCCGGACGTCAAAGTATATTCCACAGAAAGTCAAAAGCACGAGCGATAAAAAGGCACAAATCAAAACGTATATATATACAGCACAAAACCGTCCTTGGGAAGTGTTACAAATTAGCGTACTAAAAGACACAACAGACCAAAAGCGTTTAAGATTTTCTCAAGTGAGAAATACAACATGAAAGCGAAAAGAGCGTTTTTGGCGCAAAAAAAACAACAAAAGAATTCAAATTACCTAAATAAAATTACAGAATTAGGACCTTTTTCAAATGAGTTCTGAGGATCTAACGTTCCCAACATCTTCACAACTCTTTACTGATATATTGTAACATTTTAACTCTAAGATGATTTCAAACGTTTTCACTCCTAATTGTTTTTCCTTATTTTATTACATAATCTCTCTTAGCTAAACATAAATGAACTATAATGTAGTTGCAATATATGTGGATCATTTTTATCTTATATTCAATTCCCTTAAGTAATAATATAAAACTTCGTTTATTTTCCCAATCAATTTAGTCAAGGGCTTAATATCGAGTTAAACTTATTCTAACAGAATATTTTACACTATGATTTAATGTATTTCAACATAAAGAATGAGAGTATCCATTCAGAAAAATCAATAAATTTAACCGATAGTGTAAAAAAAAGTACCAAATACTTTCAAGACGATATTTACTCCCCTCCCTATCCGCAAGTTCTTTGTCATTGTATCTCTGTCTATATATGTATTAACCAATCCATTTTGAACAAGGTACCCAGAGAAATGATTTTCAAATTTTCAACATACGAAAACTTTTTTGTTTCTCTAATGTCAATGTTAAACCTGTTTCGTTTTTTTTTCCGTGTGTAAAGATTCTTGACGTTTTGGTTTTTCTGTAGTTTTCTTCTTTTTTATAAAAAAAAAACCTTAAAATATGCGGAGGTAAATTTGCTTTTTTTTTTTGTTTTATGGAATCGAGATGTTCAAAAGTTGAGAGAAAATGGGAAGTTTTTTTAGATTGTATGTATACAATTTATGACTTTTTAAAACGGTTATATATAAGTTGTAACTCGATCATTTATACATCACATAAGAAAAACAAATGAATGTATCGTTTTGAATATTTGTTATAATATCCCGAGCTCCCAATTTTGGGGAAATTTTAAATAAGCCGCTATAGTGAACTTTGGGGAAAAGGCACAAAAACCCCAAAATTTTCCCAAACTTTGCGGAAGGCTATTTCACTTTGGGGATTTCCCTAAAATTTCCCCAAAGTTGGGAGCTTGGGATGTGATGGGATTTCATTTCAGTAAACTATATTTAATAAAATTTTAATAGTTGACATTATGAATCAATTGAAGCTAGAACATCATAGAAAACCTGGAAGTACTGGATAGCCGTTTCTTCCTAGTATGGGACTCCTCAGTAGTGCGCATTCACGAACTCGTCTCATGAGATTCGAATCCACAACCTATTATTCTTGTGCGCAAACGCTTAACCATTAGACCACTGACCAGGCAACAGTGTTATTGTTTAACTTCAACTAATCCACGAAATTGAGCTATACATCCACCATTGTCATCAATGAATTACTACCTCACAACAGACCCGATTGAAATCCACTTGTCACTGTTTCTCACTAGAACTCCCTGAAATACTTCTTGAATCCTGTCATTAGTGAGCATATATTGATTAGTATCAGAAGGGGTTTTTGTGGATATTATAGTAATTCTAATAGTTGAGATCATGAGTTGATTGGAGGTCTAAATTTAATTGACTTATGATCTGAAATATGAAAATCACTATAATATTCACAAAAACCCCTTCTAAAATTTAATGTATTTGATATTGATACTATACAATGTAGAATAATTAAATTTAATGTTTATGAGATAAAAAAGCAATTGGTTTAGGTATTCTAAACTTTTAGTCAGTTAAATTAATTTGTTACTGTTTAATTGAATCTTCTCATTGATGTTTATGACTGCGATTGATAAGCAATAATACCACAAACCAACGTGGTCAGATTTTTCACAGATCTTTTAATGGTATATGTAGTTGAGCAACTAAAATTAATACTTAACTTATATTTTGAACTAAACAACTTTGCCGTAGTTTTTATAGATACATATGTTGATGCACACTTCTTACTTACTTACGCCTGTTACTCCTAATGGAGCATAGGCCGCCGACCAGCATTCTTTAATCCACACTGTCCTGGGCCTTCTTTTCTAGCTCCATCCAATTCTCGTTCATTTTTCTCATGTCTGTTTCCATTTCCCGGCGTAATGTGTTCTTTGGTCTTCCTCTTTTCCTTTGACCTTCAGGATTCCATGTGAGGGCTTGTATTGTGACGCAGTTGGGTGCTTTCCTCAATGTGTGTCCTATCCACTTCCAGCGCTTCTTCCTGATTTCTTCCTCCACTGGGATCTGGTTTGTTCTCTCCCACAGTAGGTTGTTGCTAATAGTGTCCGGCCAACGGATCCGAAGTATTTTGCCTAGACAACTGATAATAAACACCTGTATTTTCTGGATAACGACAGTAGCCCCCGGAGGGACTCCAGGCGGAGTTGATGCACACTTCTACATTTTATTTTTGATAACTACCCCCAGGTTGACTACGAAAAGTGTAGTATATTTTCTGTACATGGGCTAGTCTACCGACTGTTATAAAACAAGGAATAGATTTTTATCGTGTTATACATTTTCAAACTAATTATTATACCCAGAATTTTTTATTTGTTACAAGAAACCTTATTCAGTAAGTTGAGTTAACTAGATTCTAGATTCCTAGTTCAATATAAAAAAATTAGTTTATTTACTGGTTAGCGCTTGTTTTTTCTAGATGACAGCTGACCTAGCCCTCCTATTCAATACACACTAACAACTGCAGATGAAGACAACTAGTGTAGTAGAAGCTTCTGCATCAGTAGGACTCAACTTGGACAAAGGAAACAACAAGATCCCCAAATACAACACGGAGAACACCAGTCTAATCATTCTTGATGGCGAAACTCTGGAAGATATGGAATCCTTCACGTACCTGGGAAGCATCATTGATGTTCAAGGAGGATCGGATGCAGACGTAAAGGCGAGGATTGACAAATTAAGGGCTGCATTCCTAAAGTTGGAAAACATATGCAACTCAAAACAACTTGCAACCAATATCAAAGTCACAATCTTCAACACGAACGTCAAGGCAGTTCTACTGTATGGAGCTGAAACTTGGAGAACTACAACAACCACCATCAAGAATGTATAATTATTTATAAATATTTTTCTACGTATGATACTCAACATCCAATGACCGGATATCATCAGCAACAGTCTTCTGTGGGATAGGACAAACCGGCTTCCAGTTTAGGAGGAAATTAGGAAAAGACGACGGGAATGGATAGGACATACATTATGCAAATCATCAAACTGCATCACGAGACAAGCCCTAACACGGAATCCTGAAGGGAAGCGGAAAAGAGGAAGGCCAAAGAGGAGCAGATATGAAAAGGATGAATAATAACTGGAAGGAGCTGGAAAGGATTGTCCAGAACAGGGTTGGATGAAGAATGCTGGTGAGCGGCCTATTCTTCTCCACGAGGGTTAACAGGCGTAAGTAGATAATTAGTTTACCCGAAAGAATTTTCTGATATGAGACTCCTAGACAGTGCAAATCCATTTAACCATAAACAATTATCGAATAAATGAACAAAAAAATGAGTGAAAATACTGAATACTTCCCACTTATTAAACGTTGAAAGAGGATGGATCACCTCAAAAATCCTTGATATATTTTTAGAGTTAAATAGATGTTTATTATATATCGAAGTATATTGACTTGTTACTATGTTTACTATTTTTATGAGTCTTTTTCTCATGGAAACCAGCGTAAATTTAAATAAATTGAAAATTCTTATAGAAAAATAAAATGACCTAAGACATTTGAACAAACAGTTGTTCTTTTTAAGGCTCCCTAATTATTAATCCATAATTACTGTATTACATAATATTAAGATAGACACAGAAATATTATTATTGAACTACTCATTGCTATACATGAAAAAGTAGATTTCACCTTGATTATATCTGAAATACCAATGAAATACGTGATTGATAACATAAACTGATGTAAATAGAACGTAAGCATGTTGAATTTATTTGGTTCATGCGTCGATGAAAGTTAGACATTAACACCGTTCAATGCCATCTCAGTAGTCTAGAGGTTAAGCGTTCGCATGCAAGATCAAAGTTCTTGGGTTTGAATCTCGCATGTGGCATCGTGAATGCACACTGCCGAGAAGTCCTATACTGAGACGAAACGGTCGTCTAGTGCTTCTAAGTTTCCAGTGGTGATCTAATATCAATCGATACATGATCTCAATCAAAAGCTCAACAATCCATACAACTCCATACTGATAATCATTATTTGAACATATCAGATCATGGTGTATTTGAAAACAGAACACATAATATCTCTTGATGCCATTAACAAAAAGATAAAGTGCTTGTTGTCACTTTTATAGATTTTAAAATATACACAATCCCTTTTTTATAAATATAAGCTTATGATTGTTAAGGTACGTTAAACAGTAAGCAGAAAATTTATCATCAAACACCCCTTTCTTTTTACTAACCCGTAAATGAATAATCACCCATTATATTTTATTGATTATACAAAAAGCTTGATCAATAAATCGATTGGCAAACTTTGATATACACAATTTATACAAAACCCTTTTTTTAATGCTGTTTATGGTATTTATACTGTTTTTATGATTCCACTATGGTTGATACATTATTTCAAGTAAAAAAATATGTTATGAGATAGTAAGTCACTTAAGACAATGGCGCATGTATCGCCCAATTTTTGTGGATTGGTTGAAGTTAGACATTAACACCGTTGGATGCCTGGTCAGTGGTCTAATGGTTAAGCGTTCGCGCGCAAGACTGATAGGTTCTGGGTTCGGATCCCGTGAGTAGGATGGTGGATGCGCACTGCTGAGGAGTTCCACAATAAGATGGGATGGCTGTACTGTACTTTCAGGTTTTCCATGATGGTCTAGCCTCAACTGACTCATGATATCGACGAGTGAAATCATGAAAATGTTGTTTAATTGCTAAAATAATACAAGATGTTAATGGACTGATGAAATCCAATGACACGATATGGTAGGATTGATTATGGAATGAAATCAGTAACATTCTAATTTGTTGCACTTCATAATATTGATATTAAGATATATAGTGAATAGAAATAAGCTTTTGATTTTTAAAATTAAACTAATACCAATAGTTGGATAATTTAATATTGATACAATATAAACTAATGATAGGTTACATAGAAGATCAAACCACTGACGTTTATCCTCAAAATAAGTGCTCAAAGATCAGACAAATAACCAACAAGTTAAGCTTCTTATCCGATTAAATAGTATGTTAATATACATGTTATCGACATGAAAATAAACACAATAAAGTCGTAATTGCACACTACTGTTACAATTCTACATTCTTCACAATTGATTGATCACTGGGTGGTGATCAATGTCATGTACATCAGGTCCTTCTTACTGCGAATCGAATGCTATCGATCAAGTTGTAATATGGCCACCAGTCTAGGTGACTCGACATTGCGTGCACTATGTCGAGATAAGATGGTGGTTGGGGGTAGTCAGCAGAAAACCCTGTTGTTATTTCTTGTATTCTACCTCCAACCACCATCTTATCTACATTGTTCCCTGGTATCCAATAATTTCTTAATGGATGTCAATCAGTGATGAAAAGCACTTTATAACATTTTAATGCCTTTAAGAAATCTTGTTATGAAGTTAGTCTGTTACTTGAACTAGTTATATATATATATATCCCTTTGAAATCTAGTATCCACTAGCTTAATATTCATTGATATATTAGGTTCATAGAGCATCTGAAATTTGCTTTCATATATAGTAATATATCAATGATAAATATAATGGATATACACATATATAATCTTCGAAATATACAGTCAAATATATACTTGATAAATAGAAAAAACTAATTGAAATATAGATGGTTGACCTCTCTTAATCCACGTTCTGTGGAATTCGAGGTTATATATATATATATATATATATATATATATATATATATATATATATATATATATATATATATATATATATATATATATACAATTATTAAGAATGATTAATTCCAGTTTTTCTTATCGGATTAACGAAATGAAAGTTGGAAACCTACATCTCAATATTCTTCCTAACTTTTCGTAGATATTTCATATGTGATATTATTTTGGGTCACTAATTAGTAATTCAGGGGATAATCAAAGAATATATTTATAGTGTTTAGTCAGTCGGTCAGTGATCTTAAGTGTTGTTAGATATATATGAGGGCAGTTATCACTTCCTAGTTTCCCACACCATGAAAGGGTTCTTCTGGAGGTATTTGAAGAGAATATTGGGTTATAGCTGGTCTGAGAACCTGACCGCAGTGCCCAGCAGATAACTGCTTGAAGTCAGTCACACGCGACCTTTTTGTGCGAAATTTCCATGTTAGCTCAGTACCTGTTAGGGCCTTACAGCCGGAGATGGATATCCGTGGGATAAGGCCAGGTGTGCATTTTCAGGGTCAACGTTTTCTAACACCACCCTTCTTTTGTGGGAAGGCAGCAGCAGTGTTATGCTGGTTGTCTGAAGGAATCACTCTACTGCAATCACACCTCTCTACAGTCAGCAGTACGACTTCGCTCTTAGACCTTGGGTTTGTTGATTTTAGTCCTACCCATCTTCATCTAACCTGTCCGGCATGGCAGAACCTTGAAGAATGATTGTTTCAGTCAGTAAAGCTTTACTGGTTCATGACGATGGGCAAACCCGACCACCACATCAAGGTAGCAGCAACGGTCGGGTCTCTATAGTGTTACGTCGTTCTAGTACAGTGAATTATACAGAATCGTGTTTGTTAAGCCTATGTTTGAGTAATAATTAACTGTGAAGTCATTGGTGTGAATTTCATAATATTTTGGTCATGTCGTTTCAGAATAAAAATATATCTCAATATTATTATTGCTACTGTAACCGAGTCAAAATCTGTATTCACGTTCCTGTAATCTATTTATATAGATTGTTCTTTTATTAAATTAGGTAAATGAAAAATGATTCTCTTCATGAGTGGCTGTTGTAAAAGAATCTACTGGAGGTTCACTAGACTATAAAAAGATAAAACCGTCAGTCAGAAATGAGCTTTTGATCAAAGATCTCACTACCTTAGACATTTTTGTTTACCATTATTGTCATTAAACTAAGAATAATGACAGTAACTTTTAACTACTCCATAATTCTCATCACAGACTGACCTAAGATAAGTAACTATTATAAAGACGGAAATACTAGGAGTTGATCTCAGATTAGGTCATGAATTTGTACTTTTGAAGAGTTCTATACGAGAATGAAACATTTGCTTTTTCAAAAGGCTTCTTGGTTTCAAATGGTTTTTCTAATTACGATCTTCATAAATCCTCAGTATTCATTCTATTGATTCATTCATTTCATAAACTTAGAAAGTAATTCAAACGTGTTTTTTTTAATATGACATGAGTGAACAGTCCTAAATCGATTTAAGTATAAAATAGGACAATGGATTTAGCTATAATAATATAAACTTAGATTCGTTTAAACAATCCTTTTATAGGATAATAAATGAGTTAGTGATGTTTGTATAGTCATTTGTCTCTAGACATAAATGCATAACATAACTTAGAAATTACATATTTTTTTCAATCATTAATAACTAATCATGTTTATTGTAATAACCCAACGATATTGTAGACATTCAGCTTATGGTTTTGTATTCTAAGTTAACCAAGGTTAACTTCCTGTTGTCATCGGTAATAGTATGTCATTCTAATTATTCATTAGAATTTACTATTCGAAATAATAATTATGATGAATGTGAAATAGGAAACCAAACAGAAATATGAGAGTTTATAGAGATTGTAGTCATTTTTAATAGTTGACATTCATGAGTTAATTGTAGCTAGACCACTATTGAAAATTTGAAAGGATTGTTCAATCAGGTCTTTTACATTTTCAATAGTGGTCTAGTTTCATTGAATAATGATGAATTCAATGATTAGACATATATTAGTCTTACTTATAATAACTATTTCAACATTTATATTGAGTGGATATTTATTTCAGTAGTTAATTATTTATTATTCATTAGAAATATCAGTCAAAATATCAAGATCTCAATGTATTCAATTAGTTTAATGAACTGAAATATTG